AAATATCACATGTAAAGTTACTTCATACATTTTTAAAAACTCTATTTGACACAAGCCTAGTTGTTTTGTGTATTGTTTTGTTTTTTGGCCCTCGGCCCACCACAAACATTGCACTTTGGCAAGCTGGGCCCGTCCTTAAACCCTAAGGGTCTGTATGTAGGTCCACACTTCAGCTCTTCACTGTCATAATGTCATGACTTACGTTTTGGATTCATAGTAGTTACTTGAATGATATATAGTAGTTACTGAATAATAAGGCTTAAAGGGCAATTCCACCAATTTTTCTCAATTTAAAAAGTACATTTTAGGTGAAAACCTTAAATGAAAAAGTGTTGTAAAACAATATCTCAAACATCAGACAGTATATTCAAAACTATCTTGTGTAATAACTGTGAAGGAGCTTTTAGAAGTGTGTGGTCTTCAGACGTCTGGTTCCTATCACCACCACTGTGAACAATTCTGACTTTTCTCTAAAGCAGCACATTTCACATCAGACTACTTTGTTTACATATTAACCACTGAATTATGCAGAAGTTATGCAGAAGAATCAGTGAAATTCCCCTTTAAGATTAATAACTGTATAATAAGTCTGCACTTCAAGGAGTTTAAACCCATACACCTGACATGGCTTTCAAAAAAGGTTACTAAATTAGATGATTGTAATGTATCAGGTGACCTAAAAAGCAAAAAGAAATGGGTGTGTTATTCCTGCATTTTCCTTAAGACAAAGAATGACACTCTGAAGAGGCAGAGAGACACAAAGAGAGAGAGAGGAATGGGGGAGAGAGGAGTGCGAGTGTTGGACTTGTGCTGTCAGTTGTGCTGGGTTGCATTTTCTCCTGTAAACATGAACGTGTTTGTGCTGCTCTTCTTCCTCCCTTCCTCTGCCGCTCCGACACACTCCAGTAGTTTCTGCAAACGCTCCCCTGTCATATCAGCTAACAATGCCAGCACGCCAGCTAAAAGCGAGGGGTGGGGGGGGGTGGTGTAGAGGCCCAAAGCCGGGGAACTGTGCAAAAGGTGGAATAAAAATACCTTACATAACCTTTAAAAGGCAAAAAAATGTTAACGACTCTAACTTAGTTGCTTGTTATCAAAGATAACAGCGACTTTCCCCTGGGTTTAGTTTAGCATGAGAAACTGTTGTACTCACGAGGGGTATCATGCAAGTTGTACCCAATGTCCTACTTTATCAGAAAGATAAACAATATTGGCATAAATCTGTATGAGTAACATAGCAGCAGTGGCGAAACTCACTATTCAAAATGAAGACCTACTTGAGTTTTTGTGCAATTCTGATAATGGTGAAATAGCTCTAAACCAGAAAAAAAAGTTTTCCTTGGGAACTATTTTGCCTTCCATGTATTTCTCCACCATAAATGTATTAAACAAAATATGTTATAAGCCAAACCTGGTCTCAAAAACATTTGTAAACAGTGTCTCAGGCATCGGGCAGTATATTCACTACCATTTTGTGTAATAACCTCCCGTTTAGAGGCATTAAACGCTTCGGATGTCTGGTTCCTATCACCACCACTGAACAATTCTGACTCAGTATGTTTCTCTAGAATGGAGCATTTCACACTGGATCACTCTGAATGACTTTGTTTACGTAAGTAACAAATTAATTATGCTCAAATTTCGAAAATTTGGTGGAATATCCCATTAACAACATACTTCACCAGTTGACTTCCATCAGCACTACACAGACTACAATGACATCTATTTGTTTCTATTATTCATAATGCATCTCATCCATGGTAACCGCTTTCATAGAGACTCGTCTCAACCTGCAACATGATAGATTCATTATTTATAATATAAAAATCTTAAATAGGTAAACACTTCAGGTAGATGCTTAAGGTAGATGCAGATGTGAATAAAAAGCCATTTCTATTCCAACTCACTTTGCAGTATTATTGCCTTGTCTGTTTGAAAGGATCTTAATTATGTCCCAGTTTTGCTCTTTAATTGGCAAAATAAAATGAAATGAAATAAAATTAAATAGGAAGGAAAGTTAGAAGAGCTTATCTGAAAGCAAGTGTGTGTGTGTGTGTGTGTGTGTGTGTGTGTGTGTGTTGGGATGGGGGTGGGGATGGACAAAGCACAATAGAAGGAACCAGAAACCTAAACTCCATGTAATTGTTATGATTTGTTAACTTTTATGCCAGTAACTCTGCATGAGGACTCAGTTCACACTGCAACTTAAGGCACAAAACCACAGCACAGCCTCTTCCAGCCATTTAACTCCTTACAGTCTCAGGCTTGTTACATACTGAGGCTTATTATTCAGTAACTACAGGGACTTCAATGCAAACTGACAGAGCTTTTCCTTTTTTTTATATGTGTGTAATAAAACTTTGGGCCCTGACCATTTAAGTGAGTAGAGCTCACTTTAAACTTAGCACTTTAGGTTCACTTTAAATTGAACCTAAAAAACTGTATTACAGTTATTTGCACAGCTGTACAGATGTTAATTATTACAAAGCTCCATATCATTCTGTAGTAATAGTTAATTACAGTATATGTCCACTACTACTCAGACCTGCATGTATAGATGTTCATATATGTATATGTACAGAATCTTCAAGGGTTCTTTAACAAAAACATTGGTTCTATTCAGAACCATGAGTTCTATATAGAACCATTGTATGCTTAAATGCTTCTTTGCATGGTGAAATGGCTCTTCAGATTAGAACCTTATCTTAGCACCAAAAGGGTTTAACAACAGAAGAACCCTTTTTGGTACTATCTATAGCCATTTCCAAAAAGATTATATTTAGAACCATATATTCTCCATCAATCTGAAGAGCCATGCCATCATGCTATGAACCATTTAACCACAAAATTGCTCTACATACGCGCTTCAAAAAGTCAGTTCTTCTGAAGTTCTTTAGTAAAGGCAATGGCCCTATTTACAACTGTGAACACTCAAAGAACCATTTGCATGCTTAAACGTTTATTTGCGTGGTGAGACGGTTCTTCAGATTGGTAGAGAATGTGTTCTATCTTGCAGGAAAAAGTGTCCTGCTATTGCTATGATGGAAAGCTTGTAACAATAGAAGAACCCTCTTTGGTGCAATATACAACCACTTGCAAAAAAGCTATGTAGAATCATATACAAAACATTTTCCATTAATCTGAAGAACCATTTCTCTAAGAAAAGACGAATTTATGCATGCAAATGGTCCTATACAGAGCTCATGGTTCTAAATAGAACCATTCCCTTTACTACCCTGCTAGAAAAAACAGCACAGACTAGCATAGCTGGTCACAAGCCTATGTTGTGTTTTGAGTGCTGGTATGCTGGTCAACCAGCATGACCACGCTGGGTGAGCTGCTACACCAGCACCAGACCAGCATAGACCAGCATTGATCAACATGGAATGCATGGGTAAAGAACCCTTCAAGAACAGTGTACAGATATTCACATCAGCTATTTACTATCTACTAACCTGAGCATAACCAGACTGGGTGAGCAGCTAAACCATCACTAGACCAGCATAGACCAGTTTAGACCAGCATGACCATGCTGGGTGAGCTGCTAGACCAGCATAGACCAGTTTAGACCAGCATGACCACGCTGGGTGAGCAGCTAAACCAGCACTAGACCAGCATAGACCACTTTAGACCAGCATGACCATGCTGGGTGTGCAGCTAAACTAGCACTAGACTAGTGCTAGACCAGCATAGACCAGTTTAGACCAGCATGAACATGCTGGGTGAGCAGCTAAACCAGCACTAGACCAGCACAGACCAGTTTAGACCAGCATGACCACGCTGGGTGAGCAGCTAAACCAGCACTAGACCAGCATAGACCAGTTTAGACCAGCATGACCACGCTGGGTGAGCAACTAAACCAGCACTAGACCAGCGTAGACCAGTTTGTACCAGCATGACCACGCTGGGTGAGCTGCTAAACCAGCACTAGACCAGCATAGACCAGTTTGGACCAGCATGACCACGCTGGGTGAGCTGCTAAACCAGCACTAGACCAGCACTAGACCAGCATAGACCAGTTTAGACCAGCATGACCACGCTGGGTGAGCAGCTAAACCAGCACTAGACCAGAACTCGACCAGCATAGACCAGTTTAGACCAGCATGACCACGCTGCGTGAACAGCTAAACCAGCACTAGACCAGCGCTAGACCAGCATAGAACAGCTTAGATAGTTCTGGCCTACACTGGTCTAAATATACTGCACTTAAATATAATATTTATGGTTAAATAGTTCTTTTCATGGTGAAATGGTTCTTCAGACTGATGGAGAACGTGTTGTATGTGGCTCAATATACAGATATTATAGTGTACGGATATTCACATCAGCTATTTACTACTCTTAATTCTATTTATGGTATATTTATTTTATTTATCCCTTAGAGGAATATATGTAAACAGTCTGCGTGCTTGTCTGGTCTCTTCAGTGTGTTGTATGCCATACATTTGTGAGCTCACCAAGCCCAGGCAAGTGTAGCATACTCGGAATAAAGCGACTCCGACTCTGAACCGAGTGAACGTTACACGTCCATCCTACCCCGACAGCAATCTGAAACTTTTTCCTGTTTTAGAGAGCCCGAAATAAATAAATAAAGTCCCGAGAGAGCAGCGGGCGGGCGACGCGTCCGGCGGCGGAGGGGTTAAGAGTAAAGTGAACTGAATTGTAAGAAGTTGGTTTCCAGGGGAACTATTCTTACTGTTCCAGCTGAGCTGGGCGAAACCATTCGCGCTGCAGAAGCGGGGGGTGGACGAGGAGAGCAGCGACTAAGCGTCTGCTTGGTCTGAGTACTGCTGGAGCACACCGCGAACAAACACGGCGAAACGGAGATAAATATGAGACAGAGAGGTAAATCGCACGTTCTCGTTTTACTCGGGGACGTTTGTCTGTGTTTTGGACGCGCGGCCCCTCCCCCCTCTCGGCGGCGCGGTGCAGGCGGCCCTGCCAAGTCAGTTTGAAAAGATCAGACAAAGGCAGCAGGAAGCCCCTCGGCTTGGCAATGCGTGCGAGCGGAGCGCCAACGCGAAGCGAAAGCTCTCCTTCTGCGTCTCCTTCTCCTCTGCTAGCGGGCTGAACCGGGCGCTCAGATCGCTCCCTCCGCTCCCGCTTACGGTTTACGGCGCTTTTGGATATATTTATGTTGTTTGGTAAGGGGGGGGGAGGCGATGAACGACCGTCTGGATCCTCGGCTCCAGAGAGGACGATCATGTGAAGGCGGAGCGGGCAGCGCTGTGTGACCGCCAGCGTTCCCCCCCCATCACTGCCGCCGCCGCCGCCGCCGCCGCTGCTCTTGGATTGGAACAAGCTTTTAGCTTCTTCTTCTTTTTTTTTTTTGGGGGGGGACCTTTTCGCATTTGAATCCTACTGCGCAAGCAGACGGATCACGTGGGACGTGGAGTTGATCGATTTACAACAGTTAAATGTGAAGAGAAAAGCAAAGCGAGTGAAGGGATTTTTTTTTTTTTTACATTTTCTTTTTTTTTTTTGGTGTGTGTGTGTGGGGGGGCACTAAACGAAGAAACACGTGAGTGGATTATTATTTTTCTCCTTTTCCATTTTGTTGTTACTACTAAGATGGAGACGCACATCTCGTGCCTGTTCCCGGAGATCCTAGCCATGATCTTCAGCTACCTGGACGTGCGGGACAAGGGCCGGGTGGCCCAGGTGTGCGCGGCGTGGCGGGACGCTTCCTACCACAAGTCAGTGTGGCGGGGCGTGGAGGCCAAGCTGCACCTGAGAAGGGCCAACCCGTCCCTGTTCCCCAGCCTGCAGGCCCGGGGCATCCGGCGGGTGCAGATCCTGAGCCTGCGGCGCAGCCTGAGCTACGTGATCCAAGGGATGCCCAACATCGAGAGCCTGAACCTGAGCGGCTGCTACAACCTGACGGACAACGGCCTGGGTCATGCCTTCGTGCAGGAGATCCCCTCGCTGCGCGTGCTCAACCTGAGCCTGTGCAAGCAGATCACGGACTCCAGCCTGGGCCGGATCGCCCAGTACCTGAAGAACCTGGAGGTGCTGGAGCTGGGCGGCTGCAGCAACATCACCAACACGGGCCTTTTGCTGATCGCCTGGGGCTTGCACAGACTCAAGAGCCTGAACCTGCGCAGCTGCCGGCACGTGTCGGACGTGGGCATCGGCCACCTGGCCGGGATGACCCGGAGCGCGGCCGAGGGCTGCCTCAGCCTGGAGTACGTGACGCTGCAGGATTGCCAGAAGCTGACGGACCTGTCGCTCAAGCACATGTCCAAGGGCCTGGCCAAGCTACGGGTGCTCAACCTGAGCTTCTGCGGAGGCATCTCGGACGCCGGCATGCTGCACTTGTCGCACATGGGCAGCCTCCGGGTGCTCAACCTGCGCTCTTGCGACAACATCAGCGACACGGGCATCATGCACCTGGCCATGGGCTCGCTGCGCCTGGCCGGCCTGGACGTGTCCTTCTGCGACAAGGTGGGCGACCAGAGCCTGGCGTACGTGGCGCAGGGCCTGTACGGCCTGCAGTCGCTCTCGCTGTGCTCGTGCCACATCAGCGACGACGGCCTGAACCGCATGGTGCGGCAAATGCACGAGCTGCGGACGCTCAACATCGGCCAGTGCGTGCGCATCACGGACAAAGGCCTGGAGCTGATCGCCGACCACCTGACTCAGCTAGCCGGCATCGACCTGTACGGCTGCACCAAGATCACCAAGCGCGGCCTGGAGCGCATCACGCAGCTGCCCTGCCTCAAGGTGCTCAACCTGGGCCTGTGGCAGATGACCGAGAGCGAGAAAGTGCGGTGAAACTTGGGGGGTGGGGGAGGAGGAGGAGGAGGAGGAGGAGGAGGGGTAGTATGTGGGCGGGGAGTTTTCATTATTCAAAAATAAAAGGCTGTTTGCTCACTGTCGTACTTGCAGTTCAAAGCAGCGAAACGGCCTCAATCCAGACTTCTCTGTCGTTCATGCAAAAACCTATATATAAGCAGTATTCCATCCTAAGCAAGTGTATTAACCCATTTTTATCAGCCAGTGTGGTGAAAAAATAAAAAGAGAAAAGTTTGGTTTAATTCCTAACCAGTCGCAATATTAAACCTCCTCCTTCCCACTTTATGGCGCCTAAATCGGTTTGGCTACCTCGTAGATGTAGTAGAAACTTGTATTCTTTTAAAAAGAGAGAAAGAAATGGAGATCAATTGTGCCTGGAAATACACTCCCCTCCCCCATCTTGTGTTTCTTTTTTCGCTTGAGAACAGCAGAAATGAAGCACCGGGCTCTAACTACCTTTGTTAATTTGGCCAACAAAAGACTGAAGGGGACGGAGCTGAGAGACTGGCTCAGAAACTGAACCGAGTTTATGCAAAGACGGACAGAAATTGCTGGTTTGTATACGAGAGCTTTTCTATTTTTCCTTCCGTTTTTTTTTTCCTTTGGATTTTTTGGAGCTTGACTCGCAGGGGCCTCAAGAAAAGCCTTTTTTGAACCCGAGGTCCCCGTGTTTATGCTTAGGGAAAGCAGATATTGGGTTAGTTAACGGCTGTTATTCAGAGCATCGTACTTCAAATTGAAGTGAATTTTTTTGCCCACAGACGTCCCTTCTCCCAACCAGTTCCTGTCAGTAGCTTGCTCTAGTTTTCCTTTTCTTTTTTTGCTTCCTTGTAGACGACAGGTCGACACCAAAATTTGTCCTTTTAAAAAACGAGTTTAAATTCACACAAGGACTTTTATTCAAATTTCAAACGAAGAGTAGTGGATTTTTCTCTTTCTCTCTGTCTCTCTCTGGGGTAAGAATCAAAACTCATGTGAGGCCTGTGTAATATGATGATGTATCGACCTGCAAACATGTACTGAGTCCTGCTGAGAAGCTACTGTGTTTTAAATGTACTGTATGTATTTGTAAAAAAAAAAAAAAGAATCTCAAATTGTTTTATATTCTTACAGTAAACATTAAAGTTGATATTTATATAATTACAAAAGGGACACTCGGAATTTCCTTTTAAACGTGTCTTATTTTGTATCTTGGGCAAAGGTACCATTTGTTAGGGTGCTGTTTCCTTTGTAAACATCTTCAGCCGTCTAATGAGAGGCATAGGGGGCTTTACGTTCGGGCCTAGAGCTTAGAAATATCGGGGACCCCGTGTGCCGAAAGCAGAAGGTTGCTTCAGATGAGCAGATATGGATGCATACCAGAATATTCTTCTCTTTCATGGTCGTTTATCATCCCGTGGTGTGGTGCCGTGTTTACGAGGCGCTACAAAATGGATGCTTCTGCTTGATTAGGCTGCTTAGGGTGCTCGGATAATGAGGGACAGAGGTGCTCGTCGCAACCACGGCCCTCAGCTTGGATTTTGGCGATTGGAAGGTTGAGATTATGATGGTTTGGGGTCAGATGTTGCACAGAACTAAGTGCCTTTGCATTGGTAACGTTGATAACATTGATTTTATGAAGAGCGCGCTCGTAGAATGAATCCAAGTCTGTTGTCTCCTAAAGTTAAGCAGCCAGGTCTGAATTTCTCTCTCTTGCTCAGTCACGCATACCACATCTGAGAGATGGAGTTTGTCCCGCAGGAGTCTTCCTCCCCCTCAGCAAACCCCCCTTCTTCTCACACACACACACACACACACACACACACACTTTTAAACATTCCTCACCATCATTCAAAGCGTTTAAGCTTTCTTCTTTTCTCCCCCCACCCCGATCCTCCCCAGCACCCAGCGCAGAGGAGGGGTCAGACGGGACGGAGGCCGCTTGACCAGCGAGGGAGAGAGAATTCACAGCCTAAAGGTCACTGTGATCTCTCTTTTATACTGCTTTGCTGAGTTTATGGAGCTTAGTTTATGAGCCGTTTCGCACTGGGGTCAGTATTATTGCGTGAAGATTTGCATTTGCTTAAACAAGATTTGATGCACATACTTTTTCCTAGATGAACGAAATCATTTTGGCTCTTTTTAGCTAATCGGCGCTGTTACCGAAGCAGTCTTCCACGTTTGGTCACAGTGGGGTCGTCCGTATTACTGTACGATGAACTCACTCAAGATGATCCGTTCGTTCGAATAAGATTGGGTGTATTTTTTTTTAGCTAATTTGAATTTGAAGCAGTGCTTGCAAGTGGGCCGTTTTTTCTTCATTGTCACAATTTCCAGCGTGATATTCGCTCTCTGAACCCGAGGCGGTGTTGGTTCAGAGGCTCCTGTGCAAAATACAAAGCTATGATTCTTTATTGGCTGCGTAATACAGGTCGTAAAAGACCACCGTTAGGGAGCAGGATGGCTCTAACAAAAGACTGGGCGCATTCGCAACGACCTGTAAGGCTTTTCTTTTTACGGCACCTGCGGCTGAAGGTGTCGCTGGCTTACAGTGAGAGGCTTTGAAGTTTTTGAGAGATCCAGGCAGGGGTGCATGTGGGGGGTTGTGATGGTGGTGTGTGCGGGGGGTGCGGCTTTCTGGAGTGTGTGGACTGCCTCAGTGAAAAGATGTGGTCAGTCCAGAGATGCCACACTCTTTAAAGGATGTGGAAAAGATGGAGAACCACTTCTAGTTCCGTCAAGAACTCTATAGTGCTTGGTTTGAGTGTGAAGAACCTTTTTAATGTTTAAAGAACCGCCTCATAATGTAAGTTCTTACAGCGGAAGTTTTTTACCTTTATTTTAAGAGTGTAGAAGGTCTAGAGAATGTTTCCTGAATGGGAGAAATAGAGTAAGCGAGCGAGAGAGAGAGAGAGAGAGAGAAGGTGCCTAGACGTATTGCCAGCCACAGATCTCTGGAAAACGGGGAGGAATTTGTGAGTCACCGTTTGACTTTGCTCTGTGAAAAGTGAGTGTGCAGTGCGAGAGCCCTGTCTGACTCCAGCAGACGGGCACACACGCCGGCTTAGCAAACACAGCACGGCACACATCAAGGGTGGATCCTGGGCTGTGGAGACGGAAAGGTTTCTCTGTCTGAGCGCTGCTTTGCTCTGAAATGCTTGGTTAGGGTTCAGGATATAGTGATCAGTCTGTATTTCGTGACTGTATCCAATACGATCCTCTAAGTCAGGGGTGTCAAACTCAACCACTAAAAGGGCCATATTCAAAACTCTCAGCAAATCTGTGGGCCAGCTGTGTTTATTTCATTTTTACTTAAGATTTTCCAAGACCCAAACGGGCCATTGCTTATCCAAACTGCAACAGCAAAACGTCCACTGAATACTTATCTAAAAATAATTCTAAATAAAAATAAATTGTTTTAGGTAGGTTTTTTTAAGCTGCCTGTTTGCTTGAACTCGACACCAGGCGCCTTTTCTTTTTTCGTAACCGCTGGCCCATAGATTGTTGTTGGGTAAAGAGGGGGTCATTGCAGTGCATGCTGGGGACTGTAGTGCATCTTAGGGTGAAACAGGCTAATAAGAATAGAAAATTATAATTTTGCGGGCCAAATAGGACCGTGCCACGGGTCTGACTTGGCCTGTGGGCCTTGTGATTGACACATGGGCTCGAAGTTCTAAACCATGTTGGTGATGAAGTTCACTTTGCTAGGAGCTGGATGGGTTTTTTTGAAGTCATGCCATAGAAGAACCACTTTGGGTTCCATAAATACCTTTCCGGTGTGTGGTTCTTTAAAGAGGCACTGCGCAAGACTGTAAGGCAAATTTCTACTTTAGTTCAATAGTTGAGATCAGTCATTCAAAGCGGTTTGATGTGAATTTGTTCACTGTAGAGAAACTTACTGACACGGATAACCAGGGGTCGCAACCAGGGGTCGTCTGAATTTGTATGTGTAATGTTGATCATGTAAAATAGTGATAAACCTAAAAAAAAAAGGTTTCTTTGGGGGATATTTAGTGTTGCAACGGCCTGCATGGATGTCCTCACCATGAATGCGTTTAAAAGTATGTTTTAGTCCAAAACCTTATCTGAAAACTGTCTGACAGCTGAATTATGCAGAAATGTTGAAAAATCACTGTGAAGTGTTGAGATCCTTCACATGATAAAACTGTTCAATACCAATCAAAGGGTTTTGCTAAAACTTTTAAAGCCAAATAACCACTTAGGAACTTTTTAAGCGCACATAATTAACAGAACCAGTGATTAGCCTGATTCCTCACTCTCATAGTTTCTAAGTTGTATAACCTCGTAGTTACCAAACACTAAGATTAATAACCGAATAATATGCCTGCAGTTTAAAGGGCTAATTGTACGAGAGAGTGTTTGTTTACTACGTGTTCGTAATTAAAATTTGTTCCACTGCCACTAAAACCTCATTTCAAACAGTATTCTAAGACAGCCAGGTTAGCGTCGGGCTTTGTGCAGTTGTGTTAGGCCTCATATATGTGTGGTAGCTCCTTCTGAGTCTCCCAGCCCTTATACCTCTGCATGAGTGTGAGGTGCGAGTTTGCGGCTGCTAGGTGCCAGCTTTCCTCGGCGAGGTTGTGACAGAGTTTGACTGGTGTCATGTGACCTTGCTGGGAGTGTGAGGGCTCGGGGCTGGAGCCAGGAGGCCCAAGCTGTCGACCTCGCTCACACACACACACGCAAACACACAGAGAGAAAGAGCCAGGCCGTCAAAACACCCCACAGCATAAACATGCACGCTCACGCACATACACAGACAATCACAAAGCTCAAGACAGCATCAGTGCAGTGCGTGTTATAGTTGCTTTGGTTGCCTCCATAGATAACAGAATCTGTGTGCGTGGATGGAAGTGGCATGTCCAGGATTTTAGACACGGGGTGGCACAATGAGGTCAAGAGCACCTTCTCATTATTTACAGTTTATATTTGCTGGTGATATTATGATATTACTGCACTGGCTTCATATTTCGCCGCTGTCGGAACAAAA